CATTAGTTGTCATTGTCAACCAGAGCACTGGTTCTCAATCTTGGTTACATATCATCAAGAAAAGTGAAAGGTCCCAAGTTCATGACACAAGCCACATCAATGAAATCAGAATTTCTTGGAACTGGGGGCATTTTCAAAACATCCCTAGAATATTCTACTGTGACCCCAAGGATCACTGATCTAGAATAATATTTACTGATATTAAAGAAACATCTTTGCAATGTGAATCAATGTAAACAATAAAATGTTTGGTGATGAGTCGATGTGAGGTCAACAAAGAAGATGAAGATTCAAAAGGAAATTGGGAATTGAAATTAAAGTGCTAAGTCAAATAATTCAAAACAAAATATTATTTTGTTTGAAATAGTTATCTGTATACTTGTTCTTGTATATTCAATCTAGCATAAAAAATATCTTAATGGATTTATATATGGGGGCGTATGAGACTGAGAACATTATTGATTTCTTTTCCTTTATATTTTAATTCATCTGCATGAGTGAACACCAACCTCATCTAATTAAAGCGATTAAATCCAATGTATATCAGTGATTATTAAAGCTTTGTGATTATGCCCTACATAGTTACTAATTTGACCCAGTTGTAAGTCCAAAGTAAAAATATTCATTCTTTAGTCTATAAAACAACAGACATTAATATTAAAATAAAATTTTGGGTGTTTCCCTATAAAAATAAAATACAAATCATAATATTAGTAGTTGTATGTGGAACAAAAATATAAAAAACAAAAGTCTGAATCATAAAAATGATTATGTGAGTGGGTTTAACCTTATAAATGGCCTTATTAATGGTTAAAGTGATCATGTGCATGGTTAAACTGATTTTTCACAGAACAAGTCAACTATAAAAACATGATTTAAAAATAATAAAGTGGTAGGCTATAAAATAGATCTATCTGCATATGTATTCCACACTTCTGGACAGTGTCATAACGTGTAAAATAGCATTCAATAGCAAAATATTTTCTAGTCAACATTAAAGTAAAAAGAATTGTTAGATATTTGATTTTATTTTAAAAAGATATTTTTTTCCAAGAATCTAGAGTGCATTACACCAAAAAGAATTAAGAACTTAAGAAATGCTCAAATTGTACATTATGTAACTCAAATTCTATGTTCTCAAACTGATTAATGTTTGCGAGTAGTTCCTGCAAAGAATACAGAAAACCTCAGGTGTCGTGATTTTTATTTGTGCCTAACATTAGTGGAGTATCATTTTGGTCAGTGTCTGTTAAATAAAAATTGGCAACAGAATCTGCTTTAAAATGAGATTATAAAATAAAAATATGAGAGTGCGTATTCTTGAGTGTATAAAGAATAAAATTTATTCTGAGAGAACTTAAATACAGATGATGCAATGTTAATGTTAGAATCTAACCTCAAATCTGCTTTCACTAATCATCTGGCTCAAGATATACTAAGTAAATAAAGTTATCAGTAACAAAAGTTTACCTGTAACATAAAAATTTATATTCCCTAAATATCCCAGTTTTATAATATATATTTCAAGTATGCTCAGGAGCTAAAGAACATATTTAAGAGAAAACTTTTGTTTAATTAAAAAAAATCAAGAATGTTAATAACATACATATGTAATTTTGTAGCTTAGAATATTGTATATTTAAATATTACCAGCCAACTAGATGATTATTACAAATTTGTCAGATTCTCATTATACATCAAAAATATTATTTTAAATAACACTACAAACTACAGAGAAGAATTATCATAATAAACTCTGCTCCTTGAATTATGTAATATAGCAGTTTGAATGCTATAGCATAGATATATGAAACAGTTAATTTTTTATTTTCCCAGAAATTACTTCCCAGAAATATATATATTCACTTTTTAAAAATTTAGCCAGTTATTTCTCAGAACATTAAAAAGCATTCTTGGGTACAAATTATTTCTATTATGTGTTGCAATACAAACATTTACTAAAGTAAATCCAGGGTGTATTTGATCTCCAATTACTACGGACTCAAGGAACTATGATTGTATTAGAGCAATACTAAACGAGTTTATTTTATTTTATTTTATTTTATTTTATTTTATTTATTTTATTTTATTTTAGCACAAAGGGTCAAAAAGCCCTTTTAAAAAAAGTTATACAAAAAGTAAATTTACTTTATTTTCATATGTGTATGGAATGTGGCTTTTTTATATGGAGAGAGTATAAAACTAGAAGGTAATATGTCCTAACTTTTAAAGTTAGAAATCATTGCATTAATCTAATCATATATGGGTATGATAAAGTTAATATGTTTCCCCTAAAATATAAATTTCAATAATTTGTATAATTAATGTGGCTAAATGTATTCTTTCTATAGCTTTATAAGTATATTTATAAACTATTAAATTGGATTTCCTTATGAATATGTCACCAATTCCAGAAATATAATGCATTTACTTTTAACATAGCCTAGGTCTTTGTGGATACTTTAAAATACTGAAAATTTTGCATAGAATATATATCTTGAACAGAGTCTCTGATGATAGTCATGGTTTAATAATTACAAGTATGTCTGAAATAAGTAAAATGTTTACAAAGAAACTCAGACACATCCTTCAAAGACTACAAGTAACATTTTAAGCCATGTAATATAATTTGTATATTGATGTGTTTGTAGCTTTTGTAGAATCCTAAAGAAATTATATATTAAACTAAAGAACTAACCAATCAATTTGTAAGTGATCAGCCAGAACACCTGCACCTTAAATTTGAAAATGTAATTTTTTGAAAACAATTATTGTGAAATAAATGTTTGAAACTGACAAACAAAAACCACACAATCATGAAGTAGCTACAAGACATCGCAGATACAAATTCTGTGTTGTGGTGATGAGAAACTCAGAAGGCTGTATTTGCTTTCCAATGTGAAGAAGAAACGGTTCTAAAAAGGAGTTAAGATTTTTATAATGTGCTTTTGTCTACTTTTGTAATGTGCTTTTTTGGTCTACTTTGTACAAAAATACAAGCCAGAAGTAGTTCCATAACATTACAAATTAGTTTAACCTACATACATCTTACAACTATGATAACATAAATATAAAGTTGAGAATTATTCCAGGCCAAGGGGAAAATAAACATCTACTTATATTTAAAATTTGGATATTTGAACAAAGATGTACTTGACATGCTTATTTAAAAATATGCAGTAAGTCTATTGACAACGCGGACTATCTTTTAAATACTGAACCAATGCAAACTGGAATTACTAGAAATTTCTATGAGAATTATATCCAGAAAAGCAGGTAGATTCAAACTATTACAAGGTACCGCTTTTAAAAATAGTACACTGAAACCCTTGCAACCTTTTTATTAGTAGTAAAATTTGCAGACATCAGTATCCATATTTTTCCAATGCAACATATCTTGTCAAAATAAATAACTATGCAATAAATACACTAGCCATTCATTATTAACCTCTAAATAAAGAATAAATTTAATCTCCAGGTGTTAATTATAATGGTGTGGTTAAGAAAAGTATGCAGGAAATTTTAAGATCCATTTATCTAACAAAGCAGCATTCTAAATTAATGTTGTAATCTCAGTATTATTCTTTTCAAAGAACTGTTTCTGGTCTTAAAAAATGTTGACAAAGCAAGTTTGGTTTGAGTTTAGCTTTATTGTCAAAAGCACAGCTAGTCAATCGAAAGTAAAATAAGACCTTGAATTATGCTCATTTTATATAGATATCCTTTAGTCCAGTTCTCTTGTCTAAGCATCACAAAGTCTTTTGATTCATACTGCCTTGATTATACTTCCCCAACAAAGCAAGTGAGGTAGAAGGGGAACAGTTCTGTTCCTGTGTGGTATTGGGAGAGTAGAGAAGAGAAAGGAGAAGAGAGAATGTGGTGTATTATTCTTTTTTAAAAGAAATACTTTTTGTTGTGTTGTTTAAGAAATTACTATTGGAACAAAACATTAAGGCTTACTGAGATTCTGTCATCATTTCTTCCCTACCAAAAGGTCACTGCAGTATCTTCATCTTCAACAGAGCTCTGGGGCAAATCTTGTTTCAGCACCACGGATAGTAACACTTCTACTGTGACATGCACCCATGGATTCACTGGCCATTTCTTAAGAAATTTACACTTCTCCTTTGTCAATCAGCAAGGGTTACATCCATTATTGCATTAAACAGGAAGAGGTTGAATATGATACACATTATTAAAGAGTTTAGTGTTTTTCATTCATAGTATCAAGCATTTGCCATTTAGTACTTATGGAGAGAATTCTGAAAATTCAAGTTAATTACATAAGGTGTCTGATAAAACCTAACACTGATCATCTATCACTAGATACTTAAATAAACCTTTCCACTCACATTAAATCTCAGATCAATAATTATACAAATGTCTAAGAGAAAACAGAAAACTTATGGTAAGTATACTTAAATAGGCCTCTAGACTTTCCCAACAACTAGAACTATCCCTGCAAAACTGGTAAAATGCTGTTTTGTTCTTCTTACATAAACAACTACAAATACTTTCTCTGTGCCTCGTGTCAACCAACTTAATGATTCACTATCATAGAGTTCATGTTTACAAGTCCATAGGCCAAACCATACATGCTTGTCTCTGACCCTTCTTATTTTAGATGGGGTCATCAGGATGCAGTCCCATCACTGTCTTCCTAACAAGCTGCATTTAAATGTCATTTTTTTAAAAAGGTGACAGAGTTTGAACCAATTGCATATCTGTAGGAGATAGTTAAAGCCCTAGCTTTATTAAGACAAGGTCTTCCCCTATCAAAAGATTCCCAAAAGAAGGCACCAGACTACCAGCAATCCGCGAGGTATTCCCAACTCAAGCAGCAAGTCAAGCTCTTATAACCACAAAAACGATGATTTAAGTTAACAAAAACAGACCCCACCCCCGCAAAACTGTTTAAAAACTCTTAAAAGACACCCCAGCCAAGCAAACAGATAGAAAAGCACAAAAAGGGCAGAAAAAAAAAAATCCACTGTTCCTACCTTACAGTCTTCAGGACACGATTTTACCGAGTACTCCTCCGATTGTAAATATTTATGGAGCACACTTTCAAACTCTTCGTATTTCTCCTGAGCGTGATGGTCGTAGTCTTGATAAGCCTCGATGCATTGCCTGCAAGTGGTCATCTCGCCGCCCTCCTTGAGCACCACATCCAGACTACAGTTCAAAGTGTTGGGACTTGACAACCCCGAAAACAACTCCCAAAGTGTGTAAGAATTACAAAACGAAAGGTAAAAATCCGACAAGTTCCAGAGCGGAGTTGGATGCGTCCCCCTCACCTGCTGCTCCTCCCCCCCAGCCGCCACCCCCCGACTCCAGTTCCTGGCGCACACGGCGTCCGCACTCTCCACCGTGAAGCACTGGCCCGAGGAGGCGCCCTGGGGGTAACAAGTCTCCAGGCGCCACACGGGTTTGGCAGAGTTTCCTAGAAAAAGAGCCTTGCTCCGGTTGTTTTTGCCTCGGTTGCCCTTGCCGCCGCCGCCGTCTCCCGGGGAGGGGGGCAGGGTGGGGGACGAGGAGGCGGAGAGGAGTCTGTGTGCCTGGGCGGCGGGCGAGGACTCCCCCATGCTCGCCAGGAGCGCGGGCCAGGAGGGCTCCTGCTGCCGCTGCCGCTGCTGCTGCTGCTGCTGCTGCCGCTGCCGCTGCTGCTGCTGCCGCTGATGTTGCTGCTGTTGCTGCTGATGCTGATGCTGCTCCTTGTCCCGGGTCCGGGTCAGCTTGGCCTCGGCGCAGAACCACAAGTGATCAGAGAGCAGGACTGTGAAAAACAAGAGAGATGCCAGAGACAGTCGCCATTTCTGAGCCCTCTCTGAATCGATGAACGGTTTCTCGTTCTCCCGGGGTGCTGCCAACCAGATTTTTAAGCCGTCGTCATACTGCCGACACATCCAAGCACCCCTGGTCATATTTTGGGAACGCACAGCCCTGGCCGACTCCACCGTGAGGGCTCCTGTGCCGGTGTCACCACAATATGCATTGACTTAAAGGGTTTAATTTCCTTATCCCCTCCTCCCGTTTCTTCTATCTCTCTCTCTCCCTCTCCCCCTCTCCCTCTCTCTCTCCCTCTCTTTTCTCTCTTTCTCTCTCTCTCTCCTTTTTTGCCTACATAAATATTACCAGGCTTTGGAGGAAGATCTGACTTGCGTCCGACCTAATCATCAGCCGACCCCATCCTCTGTAGAGTGGGAAACAATAATGCAGAGAGAGAAAGAGAGGGAGAGGGAGAGAGAGAGAGGCAGTCGGAGGAGGCTGGGACTGGCGGCCGGTGGTGAGCTGAGTGCAGGAGGTGATGGTGGAGGTGGCAGGGTGGCTGGCGCTGCTCCTCTCACCCAGGCATTGTCAGAGCGCGGGTCCCCATGGCCCTGCTGAGGACAGCCGGCTCTCCCCTGCCAGGGGCATGCCACGTCTCCGCTGCCCACTGATAGCGACCAGAGTGCTTCCTCAGCGTCTCTCCTCCTCCTCCTCCGCTTCTCCTTTTGCTCCTTCCTTTCCTTCTTTCTCTCCTCCTCCTCCTGCTCCTACTTCTCGCTGTCTCTCCCCGAGTCCGAAGCTTGGGCAGCCGCCGCCGACAGGGCTCTCCCTCCCCCCCCCCCCCCCCCCCGCGCTCTAACTGCCGCCGCCGCCGCTGCCGCAGGTCTGCCCGCGGGCGCCGCCGCCGCCGGGCTCCGACTGCTGACACCGCCTCCCCCGGACCTCGGGGCCGAATCGCCTGGGCTGGGCCTCCCGAGAACCACAGTCATCTTCAGTCCCCAGCTAAGTTGCCGCCATCTTCGTCCTGGAGAAACACTTTTTTGGGGGGAGCGCTGGCTTTTGCGTCATCTCCTCCCGCGCCGAGATCTCTCCATCCTGGCGCAGTGGCACCGGGCTTGGCCCGGGCAGAGGAGGAGGGCGAGGACGCGCGGGGGCCGGGGGAGGGAGGGTGCGGCTGTGCCCGCGGGCCCCGCTTGGGCTTCTGGGCTCTGGCGCTTGCTCCTTCCTTTCGTCCCCTGCACCCACCTTTCGGCTTTTTCTTTCAGTTAGCACTGACAAAAGTCAGAATGCGGATGCCCGACTGAGGATGCCAGCTAATTTCTTCAGCATCTCCCACTCCCTCTCTGCCTTTGGAAAAAGTCCGAGTTGCAGGCAGTCGGTTCCCGGTTGCTAAACGGGAGAGGGTCCAGGTATTGCCCTCTTAACTAAGTAATGATAGTCTTCAAATGAAACGTTGGAGGATAGGGGAGTAAACACAAATTAGCTAGAGGAGAGAGGAGGTGACATCTGGTCTCTTTCCATGTGCCTTGGGATCTCTAGACAACTAGAGAACAACTACCAGTGCGTTAAATTATTTTGTCAAATGAGTTTAGTGCTGTATATAGAGGGGATGGTGTGTCTGTATCTATATCTATATATGTCTCTGTATTACTGCGATGTCTTTCATATTCAAAAGTAAATGATTAGAAGTGGCCTCATATAGTCAGGAGGGGGGGAAAAAAAACGGTAAGACTTCGGATACCAGGGGTCACTGCCTAGCCCTCTGCTCCGAGTTCAACATCTTGACTTTGGAAGATTCCTCCTCCAATCTGGAGCACCCCAAGCTGCTTTGACTCTGACTCTGACGGCCTGCGCCCCAGCGCCCACCAAGTTAGACTTTGCTCTCGCCCAGGACTTCCGCAGCAGCGGGTCATCCGGCTGCCAGGGTGGCAGCTGCTGCAGTCCAAGTCTCTGGTGCCCCTTAGCGTCGGTTCTCAGAGTTCCGAGAAAGCGACAGACGAGTTGGGAAACCCTAGAGTCCTCACGATCCCTGCTCGTGGACAAACATTAGTCTGGTTTTATCTGAGGACTCTGCCCACTCATCCCCTCACTCCCACCCGCGCCACGGGAGCTAATGACTGCGCCGGTGCCAGGCACCTCGGGTTCGCGCAACGAGAGCCCAGCCTTGTCCGGAGCTCTCTCTGGCGGTCGCCTAGGAAAGCGGTTTGTTCCACCTTACAATCAGTGTCACCCTCCTTCTCTGCTTTCTAATGACCCTAATACTCTGTGGGGAGCACAGTCACATCGCATCGGCAGTATTAAGGTGTCAACGTTCTAAGTAAATACCTTGAGAAACCAAAGGAGTGGATCATCCGTATTCGTTTTCTAGAGGCTCTGTGGGTTTTGGGATGCCAGAGAAGTGGGTATTTTTTAAATGGCAAGTTGTAAAACATAATGGGCAGGATTCAACCAATTAGTTCTCTCCGCGTCATAATAAGTTATAAAATACATTTTACCCATGTAAATTCTAAGTTCCTAAAAAAGAAGTGAATATCAAAGCTTGGGGCAGTTGACGGCTGGTTGATCTGTCATGTAATGTTTTAAAAGACCGTTTGTGTAATGTACCATTCTAGCACTTTGGATTTCAACGTGTTGATTTTTTAACTACATAAAATATCTAGAAATTAACAGATATAATTTCTATGGCAAGTTTATCCTTATCATAAAACATCTTTAAATAAGCAATTATTGAAGTTCTGTTGAAAACCTTTTAAAATTTTCTGAGTTTTGTATCTGAACCTAGTTTAAGCTGAAGAGATAGCCTTTCAATTCCTCTCTTTTGATAGTTTATTTTGACATTAAATAAAATGTTGTTTTTCTCAACCAGTGATGTAGATAAAGACATCCTTTGAAAAAAAATCCATCAAAATTTTAGAAACATTGTTTTTTCTTCTACCCTCTTACCATGATTACTCTTAAGTTTAAAACTTCAAACAAATTAGATTTAAATACAACATAATGTCTGCTTGTATACATAGTAAGTATAAGATATGGCATTTTCTATTGTATAAATAAAAATACGTGGAAGATAGGATCAGCTGCATTTGTATTTCTCAATAAAAGACTTTGTAGAACATGAAAGTGAGCATATAATATCTAAATAAAAGTGAGCATATAATATCTGAAATAATTATCTCTCCCTTTTGTTTTGAACCTATTAGATCTTTGTGACAAAATATAGATGAGATGTAATAATCCAAGGACTTTCTTTTTATAAACTCAGGGTGGGGATTTTTTTTGTCCTAAAAAATTTTTTTAAGGAATTTTTATTTCTTATCTCTGTTATTTATCTATTTTTCAATCTATCCTTATCTCTATCTCTAGATTTAGTTATTTAATACTTAGTTACAAGATTTAATTTTATAGTTCTTTCTCTTATCCATGATTTAATTTTTTTCTTTGCCCTGTTTCTTCCTAATTCAAAGATTTTGCCTGGACAGGTTTATATGTCTCTTGATCTCTCTTGTGTAAGACAGAAAGCTCAGAAAATCATCGGCTAGGGAAGCCCACAGGGTGCCCCTGAGCTGAGACACTCACACAGAAAGGTCACAGGCAGATGAGACCGAGTTTCAGAACACAAAGGTGATCTGAGGGCGACTGGATTTTTAACAGGAAAAGGGAAAATCCACCAGAGCCTTTCTGCTACTCCAAAGGGAGAAAGATGAGCAAAGTGGCTGAAATACCTAAGTAGATGGCCACTTCTCACTGTGCACCGCCCAACCATCACACAGCCTGGGCTCCTTTGCACACCATGTGACTCCAACCCTGGCAGTTTGGACGTTCAGCTCGAGTCAAAACTGCTTCTGTTCACAACGATTAATAATACCTCGGCTAAATATAAAGAAGACTTTAAATTCTTCGAAGGGAAAAAAAGGCAGTTCTGCTGAAATAAACTACCATATTTGTTCTTAAAATATATTCTTTTATTCTCCTATGTCAAGTATACTATAATTTTTGACAAACTCCCTTTTCCTACCCCACCACTCTATGTTTACTTTCAAGTTCAAATTTCATGTCCACTAGCCTACAGTTGTGCTGTCTGTTCAGTGCTCTTGCTATTGAAGATGGTTCATTATAACTCCTAGGGGATGGTTTAAAGCTAAGGACCAACAGAGCTACTGGGATCAAAGTATTTGCAATTACTCTAGACAGTGTTTCTCAGCATCACCTCTGTTGACATTTAGGGTCAGATAATTCTTTGTCGTGAGAGTGTGTCCTACACTTTGCATGAGATTCAACTGCCTCTCTAGCCTCTACTCACAAGACTCCAGTAGCACAACTACCTCTCCCAAGTTTTGACAACTAAAAATATCACAAAACATTGCCAGATGTCCCCTGGAAGCAAGCTCGCTCATTCAGAGAACCACTGCTCTAGAAACATCTTGAAGCAGTAGTAGCTACTTAATTCATATCTACATGAGAAAAATTCTGGCATCAGAAATGAAGTTATAACTTTTTCTTTAATTCAGAGAATTTATATTCTAAGAACTCTTCACCTAGAATTGCTATCTCAGCATACATCTCTTGTTATAGAATATTTTTAAAAGACTACAAAGTATTGAAAGTCCCTTAACCTCTCTGCCCAATACAAAGTTAAGGGGAAAATTAACAATTACTATTTAAATATGATTAATGTCAGAATTTTTCTCCATAACGCAAATGAAAATATTATTTATTAACCAGATTGTTTATTAATCAGGCAACTATCTGTGCTTTATATGTGGATCCTTGATCACAACATATCAGAAACTAAACTAAATATATGCATCTGTTCATATATATACATATATATAATTATTTCTATTATACAAGTACTGTATATAAGTATTATACAAGAAAATTATAGAAAACAAATAAACAATTTAAAAAGTCATAAGTAATCCCAACATATGTAGTCACTATTTCCATTTTGTAGTATCTCTCTAACATTTATATTATAAATCTCTCTGTTTTGTGACATTTACTAAACCAGATTTTTTTAATGATTGAAGTATGAAATTTGATAGCACACATATCCACATTTATTAGATAATAATGCAATTTTCCTTTCATTATTGCATTATTAATTTTAATCAGAGATACGCAAATTCTAATGGTGTCTCAGAACATTAGCATATTGCTCTCTTTCTCATTCTCTCTCTGCATGTAATTTAATCAGAAAGAGTCTTAGGAAATGAGGAAAATTAGAAAAATGAACGATATATAAAATTAAAGGTTTATTATTATCAAAGAAAAAAAAGCAAAGCT